CAGATTGTAGTTTATAGTCGGTATCGCTTGGGAATTCATAATGACATGTACTACACTTTGCTCTTTTTTCTACACCATTCCATTATTCCATAATACTAAATAGACTTTTAACAACCACTTTGGAGGAATATATGGTTCAAATGATCGTTGATGAGCTGAACGAGGCATACGATACATTTGTAGAAAAACATCCAGATTTCAATGGCAAGATTTCAGTCTTTGCACTATCCCTCGGTGGCATTGCTATGTTCGATATCCTGACGTGTCAGGATGATGACAATGAAGAGGAGGCAGAAAAGGAGACCTTGCAGGCGATAATAACAAAGATGATGACACTAATCAAAAGACAGTGCGCAGTGAATCAGGCTGACACAAATAACAAGAACTAAGATGCAGCATGGCCAAGAAGAAAGTACATCCATAGAATCCTCTTCCTCGCCCCAAAATACGGCAGTGCCAGGTAAAGGAACATCATCTCCAGCACCAGTAGCAACAAGTGCAACTGAAACAGAGTAAAGGAACCCAGAAATCCCAATTCGGCCAAAAATGCAAGAAGAGTAATAAGGGTGATAATGTCAAAATCAGGAAACAGGACGAGCCTAAATTCCTCAGGAAGATTCCAAAACTCAAATTTAGACCCCATTACCTCTTCACAGTGGGGTCACCCCTAGGTGCTGTGTTGGTGATGCGGAACCTTGATTGGGAGACATTCCATCCACCGGACGATATTATCCATCACAATCTTTTCCACCCATTTGATCCTTTGGGTTATAGGATTGAGCCTTTGATCGATCCAATTTTTGCCAAGGTCCCAGCAGTTTTGATGAATTCTTATAGTAGCTCTCAAGGGGCCTTGTTTTCATTGCCCTCATTACCATCGTTACTACTTCCAGGGTCTATTTCTTCATTCTGGGAGAACAAGGTGCCCACGTTGCCAAGACCATCTATCCCAACGTTATCGAGTCTTTCTCAAATGACCATGTCATTAAAAGCAGGGCGTTGGCTAGCTGGAAATGTGAACACGAATACGAACAGTAGCAATGGCAGCAATAGTAACAACCATAAAACAGTGGAGAAAACACGGCTGTAGAAGATGAAGAAGATGATGAGGACGGGCCTGCTGCTACTAGAAATGATGATGAAGTTGAGCAGCGTACTGGTGAAGAAGTACAGGCTATTTCGTTTTCATCCTCTTCAGGTCCCTCAGGGAATGAGCACAATATAAAAGAAGACCCTATGATTATGGAGGCGATGCCTCTTGCACTGAATACATAGCCGCAGCCACTGTGGCAACGTGTTTAGCGCCAAGAGAAACAGGAGAGACATCAACATCAACAAGCTCTCCAGCGGATATTGATACAACCACTGGATCACCATCGCCAGCAACATTATCAGCCAAACAACGACCAACCTTGGGTCCTCGTCGAGTTAGCAGCCGAGTTGATGGACAGCACTCACGTGAGCATGAGCAAAGGGTAATGGCCGACGCTGCAGAAGAAGACATGAGGAATGTGCTGTCCGGCAACAGCAACAGCAGTAGCATTGACGAGTCCGTTGAGGATGATTGCACACCATCATTAATGGATATGGAATATTTTAGGAACGGAGAGAGGTGCAACAGTCCAGGAGAAGGCTCAAGGTGTTGGCGCAAAGTCAAATGTTGTTCAGGAACCCATGGTTCAATCAATTTCGTCTGCACAAGGCCGGACAAAGAATAAAGAAGATGAGGACCACCAACAGCCACATGCTGATACGTTCCCACAGGAGATTGAGAACGTAGAGGCGGCTAAACAGCAAGAGCAAAAGAAAGACAGGACAGTCCATGTAGAAGGAAAGGCTACTAAACTACCATATCGAATTGATTATGTCTTACAAGAGTCAACTGCGGACCAATATACGAATGAGTATCTTTTGGGGATGCGAAGCCATTTCCGATACTGGGGTAACAGGTAATGGCCAATACTTTTTTTATTATTTTTTATATTTTTCTGAGCAATGTCATTAACAACCCCTTTTTCATTTCTTTTGAACGCGTCTTGGATAAATGAAAATTTTTAGGGATGTGGCATACCACATCCTCAGAACCATGCTTCAGCCTGTAAAGAATCTTGGCTCAGAGGACGAAGTCCTAGATCTCAAACTGACCACTCCTGTGTCATCAACCTCAGCTGCAAATACTAAGGGAGGAGTAGAAGTCAAAACCAGGCTCCCTGCTGCTACAGCCCGTTCACGAAGTGAATCTTCAGCATCAACTATGATGAATGCAACAACAGCGACAGAGGCAGCAGCAGCAGTATCATCGTCATTGTCATCAACATCTGGCGCGACAACAGTAGTACCAGCAAGACAGCGGGCCAAAAAGAAGCATCATCGGAAATCATTCACGTTCTCGTTCTTTGGGGTTATGACCATTCTTCCTCCTCTGACGACGACGACGACGACGAGCGCAAGCGCACTGACAACCAAGAGGAGCAGCAGCGAAGGAGACGAAGGCAGCAGCAAGAAGAAACAGATCAGAATATGGCCATGATGGACGAGGAAAATCAGTTATTTGGATATCGATACCCAAGAACGGAGACGGATATGGACATGGACATGGACATGAGTATCGGTAGTGACGGCAAGGACAACAGCAATAACAGCAGTGCTGATACATACCAACGTACTTCAAGCTCTGCTAGGCCAAGGCTAGTGTCAAAGACTTACAGCGTCGAACCGTCGGAAGACGTGTCGATGGCCAGTATTAATCGAGGAAGTAAGAGGCGAATGAGCTCTTTGACCAGAAATAGGAGGAGTATAGATAGTAAGGAGTTTGAAGCTGTGGTTGAGACTGAGAACAAGGCCGAAACTAAAGCCGGGGTTGCAGAAAAGGCTGTTGGCGTACAAGGATGGATCCCAGCGCCAGTGGTGCCTGAATTAGCCCGACCAGCTAAGCTGCATCATCGCTCCTCGCGTGTTTGAGGAGGACCAGTAAAAATATAGGATTAAAAATAAAAAAAAAGTCTAAATTCGCACACCCTGAATCATATTTCAGTAAAAAAGCATTCATCCATACGCGGTGAATTTCCTGGTCCTTTCTCCATAGGGATATACACATGCTTGATAAATGTCACTCTTCCTTGTCCTCACCACAGATTGCCGAAAAATAAAAAAATAACCCGACTTGCGCATGCATAATCCTGCGTGAAAAGCAATGAAAATAAAAAGACCGTTAGGTCATGATTGAGTTGTTCTTGTGACAGAAGGATTGAACACATCATCTTTTTTTTTTTTTTTTTTTTTTTTTTTTGGTCCTCCTACATGCAGGAGCCGACCCATCCTGCGAGAATAGTGAATGCTCGTTGCTCATGTGCCAAACAGAAAGAAAAAAGGTGATAAGGCTCACATTATGCTTGCGAGGAGATTGCGCACACGCCTTTTTTTTATTTTACTTTTGTACCCATCGACAAACGAGAGGGAAACCTCCAATAAAGTGTACAGAATTCAGATGTAACAATTATCCCATACTGACTTGGCTACTCGAGAAAATAAAGGCAGAAAAGCTACCATATTCTTTTTTTTTTTTTTTTTTCCATACTTTCTCTATGAATCAGTCACTTTGGCCATTTATCTTGTAAGCTTCATGCAAAAAAATGAACGTCGTAATATGGTCCCTAATCGCGTTTTCCTTGGCATCCTTTTTTTGTGCTCATTTCCTTTTTTTTTTGAATGGCTCCATTGGCATCAATGTATCAATGCATTGATGCATTTGCATGATACATAAAAAAGAGCTCACGTTGGATGGTTGAGCGTGGTTTTGACATTTTCGGTTAGTCCTGCCCAAAAAACCAAAATAGACGTGTACAATGTACATTTGTTCACCATTTGTGAGAGCAGCACTGACCTTCGATAAACGTTTCTTACTTTATCCTTCCTTTTTCCTTTCTCCTTCCAGAGAACAATCACGATAATAATAAACTATAAACTGCCCACCTCCTCCACTTGTCAATTACTACCCACGTCCCATATTTTCCAACTCTCAACAGCCAATAACACCATTTTTCTTTTTTCTTTTTTTTTATTTTTTTTTTTTTTTTCTTTTTTTTTCTCATCAATCCACTCACCTTCCTTCCTCATTTATTACACTTACTATTATTTTACTTTCTTTAACACGCATTCTGCCTCTTTTACAACCATGGTTTCTTCGGACCATAGCTACCCACAATATCACCATCACCAGCCATATCAATATCATAATGACACATTTCATCATGATATTGCCCATATTTGCCAAAATTCCTCCCAAAACAACTCTTCTCAATGGATTGCAACCCCTCCGCAGCATCAACCTCTCAGCTCCATGTTGCTGTTGCATGATCCAAATGTCGATCGCGAACTGAAGCATATAGCCCGTAGGATGCTTCTGAAACAACGCAAGGCTGGCATTCCAGATGATCATGATAACGACAGCGATAATGACAATGATGATAGTTCACGTAGTGGTAGGAATGATGGTAATTCGGCAACAACAGTGACAACAGCAACAGCTGCTGCTGCCCCAAGTTTATTTGTGATCTTACCAACCCTCAAGAGCTACAATCGCTATAGGGAACGTTGGCTGCAGTCAACATATGCGCATGCACATCCATATGCACAAGTACATACACATGATACGCATGATGTGCATGCATTTGAGACAATGAATAACAGGGCGTCTATGTCTGCAACGCAAGGCTTATCAGAACTAGAGTTTCGACTTTATTTCATGTGTGACTATGGTGGCGGGCAAGATGAATGGCCATTGAGACTTCATCTGTGTACAGAAGAGCACTCTCCTATGGGTCCAGCAAATGATTCTATAGACTCCGAAATGAGGGATGATAGCGAGGAACCTTATTATCATCGATGTTACCAATACCCCCATCATCATCCTATGGATGATATTGGCGTGGGCGGCTTCCGACTAGCTGATCTAGACCAATTCTTGTCTGTGTATACGATTCCAATGCTCAGCCTTTTACGTGCTCTTCAGGATAGTCATGACCCTACTGTACCCAACGGAATCACCAATTCCTCAATGTATTTTGGAAATAGCAGTGAAGATGCCATGATGAATGCACCAATCGATCCTTCACACATTGCAGGACGGATCCGTGCAGCCATCCGGTTCTTGACAACAACTACGCGTGCTCGTGAAGCATTACTGGATTTTCAAGAACACCCAACAGTGGACGAGAAAGATTTTGAGGAGTATGAATCTGCTTTCCCTAATCTTCAAGCAGCTGATTTTTGGGCCCACATGATGTGATGGCTCGATCTATTGCAGCAGCCCAAGCGGTGACAGCAGTGCCAACAATAGTACAGCATTGTGTACAGATTCCAAAATCCTAGGTGGACGAGTCCTTTGCCAGATGAGTAATTTTGCTATGAGCGAAGGGATCTTGTGGCTATGTCCATCACATAACGCAGTCTTTTGTAACATCTTTGCAGCACAGCGACTCAAGGAGTTTATTCAACAACACCATGGAGATTGTGTCCCTATCGAGAAGAGTTGTGAGATACAATTTTTCAAGAGAGAAGACGCCCGAATGTTTTATGCCATGCTGGTCGAGTATAAATGTCTGATCAAACTCAAGATCCGCTTAGCATGGCCTCGTGATGATAACGCCAATGAGTGCAAGAGAGGATTGTCCGATGCTGATGACGAAGATGACGATGAAAGGCATTTCAAAAGTGGTGTGACAGAAGAAGATCTAGGAGTTATGTGAAGCGGTTCATGCATCCACTTTGCGCGAGTTGACAATCGATTGCGGGGGCTATTGCACAATATTTGATCGGGACCCTGATGAATTGACTCAATCGGACCAAGACGATGGAAAGGTGGTGGGCATAAAAAGGCAGAAAAGACCAAGTTTCCTTCCATTGTTGGGTATATCTGCCATAGAGGATTAATGTCCTTCACAGTCGAGAAATTCGATGGTTACCTTTTCCCGGATCAAATATCGCTTGAAGCCCAGGGGCCTGTTGAATCATTTTCATTAACTGAGTTCCGGCGACATGCTTCTAAGAGCCTTCTACAGCTAGCCGAGGAACAGAAGAATACTGCTGGCAACATTATCGCCACTACCACCACCAACAACAATAATAATAATAACAACTTTGTACTGTCGCTGCACAACAGTATTACACTGCGTCATCTGGCAATCCGGCATTGGACACGGTACTTTAATGCCCAGACTTTCGCCTCTGTAGTCGCATGTTGTCGCGAATTGCGAGAACTCGAGACTCAAATTTCTGATTTGCACCAGATGATGTACTCACTCCAGGACAAGATCCCTAACTTTGGCAAGCTCACGTATTTAAACTTGAGTGTCTCAACCCTCGAATCTGCAGAGGGGGTGATTTGGCAGGTCCATGACGACCAAGATAAGGATCAACCTCGACGAGCAGCAATTCGAAAAGTCCAACGTAGGACTTGTCGACCGCCAACTGTGTTTTTACAGCATCTAGTGGGGCTTGAAAACTGGACATTGACCAAGCCCCTAAAACAGATATGGGAACATTCGAAGCCATGCACAATGTGATCCTTAATAACATTGTATCTCTTCAAACTATGGATTTAGCTTGTGAGACAGTATATTTTGCGGAATGGTGGTCATTTTTGACACAAGAGTTGTTGGAAGCAGAGGCGATTGCAGCTGCAGCTGCACTTGCTTTGGATGATGATGACGATGACGATGGTAGCGATAGTGGTGCCCTGACAGGATTAACATTTGATAAATTAAGAAGGAAAGACCACCGCCAGCCAGTTCTTTTACGGTTGAACGACCTGAGGGGTCATTGTCTCGAATCATCTTGTACACGAAGGATGGACCAAACACAATTAATGATTACATCCTATGACGACTCATTTCGCCCGTACCTACAATCATTGAGCCGAGTAGCCAAAGCCCTGAATATTGATGCTGAGTTTGTGCAAGCTCAATCTTTAGAGTTGTTGGCGCAACATGCGGCAGTTGATGGGCTTTGGTTCCATGAGTTGGTTTGGTTCATGACCCCACAAACACGTGGCAACTCTGTGTTTATGAGGGCTCTTCAATCGTTGGTTCGGCGGCCAGAAGTGCAAAAGTTCACGATCCGGATTTCTGCAGACGGAGGAGGAGGGGCAGAAGGAGGTAGCGAGAATAAATCCGACATCTTTTCCTCATCGTCATCGTCTTCATCTTCGCTGGAACAAATTCGAACACTGGTTCAGACTTGGAACGAAGTGACGGGAATGAGGTTAGGTTGGGTGGAGTATGGACAATGGATGCAAGAACTTGTTGTGCAGTTAGAGCATCCATTCCGTGAGACAGTCTGTCTGCCTACAGGCGCAGGTGAAATATCGTTTGCTTCGGAGGACAGAGTCCGGATCGGTGCTCCTTCCCCACCCGTGCCTAATGAGGTTGAAAACCCACATGGTGGCCCAATAGTGTTCTCGTTGTCATGTAGATGTATCTAAACCAGAAAATAATAATGAATAAGAATTTAGTTCCAAACTTCGAAGCATGACATCAATACTTGATCAAAGAAAAGTTAAATTGGTACAAGTACTCAACCCGTTGAATTATAGTAAAAGAACATTGTCTCATTGACATGCATGGGTAGTGATAATGCAATTCTGGTAAACATTTAGGTATACACGAAGGGGTACGAAATAAAGTAACTCTTTAATGGTAGCCCTTGATGGCACTCTAAAAAGTATATTTACAGTATATTCACTAGACGCCGCCATACAGGGTGCTACCCACCAACTCTTTCTGTTCTCAAAAGCCTTGTGGTACTGATACAGCTTGATGACTGAAGTCACTATGGCGCTAAGTTATGGATCACTTTGCTTGACAAAAGGGCTACAGAATTGATCTAAAGCCAACAGCCTCATTCTTTCTTGTAATAAAATTTTGGTTCTAGCCAAGTCTTGGGTTTTCATGTATATGCTGTCATCAATTAATATTTATTTGAGTATCCCTGGTCATACCTCGGCGTCAATGCTCCAATTCCCTGTATCTATGTCATTGAGATGATAAAATGTATTAGTATCATTAATAGATGCAATGCAAAAGGGTTATCTTGATCCGCTTTTTAGCTTCTGCGGTATATACTTTGCAACGGGGGAGGCATTCACATCTGGCAATAATCCCTGAACGTCAGGACTAAGGCTCGAGGTTGTCCACTCACGCAAGGAGGCGATCCCTTGTCTCATAATCGATGGAAGGACCAATATCTCGTATGCAATAGCAAGAGAGTCAGAGTTTGAGAAAAACACAGTTGACTTCTAAATTCAAAATACCCTAACATCCAGAAATACACAAAAAAAAAAAAAAAAAAAAAAAGGACTCCATCCAATTGAATCGTGGAACTGACTGTGAAGGAGTGCGAGAAAGACGCGGCAATAACCGAAAGAAGAGAAGTACTATCGGCCACCACGCCTCATCACCGACATTCTGCCTTATCATTTGGCAAGGACAAGGCGGAAAGGAGTGGAAAGTCTGAATAATACCCTTTTCACCACTCGCCTTTTCTGGTGTGCTTGGTGTGATGTATCTAGTACCAGAATCTGCTGACGATGAAAGCCTTACCAAAATATCATCGTGGGAGTTTCAGAGACCTTGAGCGGTTGACCATTAGTATGTAAAATGCGATCGTCTCTTATCTCTTTGCTATCCTCTAAACAGCCTACTCACATAACAGATCTATTTATTTGTGCCATTCCGTCCAAGGCCAGGGATCCGCTACTAACGCCTGCAGGGTTTGAGGAAACTTACATCCCTGACTGCTTCACAGAAAAGGGTAGTCTACCGTTTGCGGTTGATGGGGTGAAGGACTCGGGCGCAGATGTCGATACTCTGGAGGGAGACAGGCGTAAATTGTCTTGCAAGATGGGAAACCATACTTGATCGATTACTCGCCGCTGATGTGTGCAATCCTGCCGCAATTGGCTTCCTTGCTAGTGGTAGGTACCATCTCTGATTATCGGTTAGATATTACTCAGCTTCATTTACACAAATTGTATGAATCCTGACTTTGATTGCCTTCTGTTCGCGTGCTGCTGTGATGTGCTCTTCATGCCCTTAGGATATGAAGCCTTGTACATGCGTAATACCATGGAGCTGCTTGACCTCCCAATGAACAATCTTCAGTTGGGCTATTGTTACCTTTTCGCGAACCTCTGGTTGCAGCACATGTAAACAAGACTTTTTGCTTTCAATCATACCAATACTGAAATCTCTTACTACAATCCCTCAATGTTAACATTACTAATAATGATTTCTGTGCGCCTAATATCACAGCAATTTGTTATAGGCACGATTGCTGCTATCAGAAATCGGAGACGTACATGCGGGGCAAGAAAATGGCAACGCCCCTCGTATTATGTGAGGGGTACTCGAGCTCCGGTGCCCGTGACTATACCCGTTGAAATCTAAGGCATTCATCCACTCCATCTCCCCTTTCCTTTCCGACGATACCCACCGCAGGCTTGGGAGAATGGACAAATTGAAGATTACTCATCAATCCATCTATATTGATAATAAATAATACATACTCGTGTGATTTTGAACTACTATCCCTCCGAGTGATAAGAGAGACTAACCAAAGTCTAGATTTGGTTAAAAGCCTTGTTTTTCCAAAGCTGATTGGAAGATGAACTATCAGAAGCATTCTTCAAAGTGTTGACTGTAGGATTGCTAAAGGAAAGGGAAAAAAATAAAAAATGCGCCAGCAACTCCAAAATATAATTATATAGTAAAACAAATAGAACAATTGGCTAAATCTCAGTTGATTGTAGTAACAAGGCTACTCTACAACTTACAATACCCTCATCAATAACAATCGCCTATAATGGACTTGTCTCTTTCCATTTTGGGCTAGTGTCACGGAAATGCTTTCCGGCCTGCACGACGGCCCTATATAGTAAGGCTTGGGATCTAGAGGCCTATTTCATATGCACTAGGAATCAGAAAAGACGGTCAATCACGCGTTCCAGCATGGCTAAAAGATGCTCCGCCATGATTCGACAGATGGTAACTTCAAGTCATTGCTTGCTCAGGCAAAACTGAAGACCAACTATCTAGAAAGTCGATTACTGTTGCAAAAATATTTTTTCCGTAAAAAACAATCTTATTTCGTGACAGTTTAGTGAACGAACATGCAACGCTTACTGAATTTTGCTTCAACATGATTGGAAAAGCCGATAGTAAGGGAACAAAAAGCCCTAATTACATATATTTGTTTGTGGACGTTCTCATTTTCACTAAGCACTGCCCGCGCCGGTCTTAATCTAAGCGCTTGACAATGCTGGATTTGGGCTGAATACTTTTTGGTCAAGTAAAAAATTTTGCAAAAAAAAAAAAAAACCCAAGCTCAGACCTAGGGAGGTGACAAGACACCAGCTACATGCAATAATAGATCCTATATTAATAATGAGCATGTTACCTGTTGGCATGTGTTATTATTTGGTACGTGCAAGTCAATAGTATAGCAGCTGTTCTCATATCATTTTCATGCAGAGAGAAAATGAAACATTATCCCTCTCTCATCATCTTTTACCACTTCAGCATTGGCGGCGTTGTGGTAAAAGACGATGAGAGAAAGGACAGTGGTTCGTTCCTCTCACCAATGAGCTTTCTTAGTTTTCGTCTTTTTCACTATAAGAAGGCTGCAAATTACCCTGTCGACAAACGCAAACACTTTCTCAGATTCCAACTTTCTCTTCTGCCACAAAATGAAGGTCTCCCAGTTTTTCCTTACCACCGTCTTTGCTGCTCTCTTTTTCATGTCTTCCAGCGATGCCGCCTGCATCTGCGTCAATCACACGGCTGGAAAGCACTGCGGACAGTCTCGATTGCTCAGTGGATGTAAGTACGATTACATTTACCAATGCAATGGTGTCTATGGCAGCCCTGCCTATGAATATGGACCATGCAGAAAAGGCTGCATCCAAGAGTCGATTTCAAGGGACCACTGCAGGTTATAAATGCGCACATGTCGTGCTTTCATAGGCAAACCAGTCAAGGCTACATTTCATTATTTGCAAAGGTAATTTGGACACTTTAGAACTCTGAAATTGAGTGGCAAACATTGATTGAAACGCGACACCTCGGCTTTTTTTGTTTTAACTCTATTTAAACCAATGGCGATGCATTTGGCTTTCGACTAGGTTCAAAGGAGATCAACTTCATTGCGGTTTCGCTCCAACCAATGTTTATAGTAAAAATATAGCACTTAATAAGTTGCTACTTGTTTCTTAAAAAGTAGTAAATTCTTTTTTTCTGAAATTCATGAGGAATGGCTCGACTAATCTCTTGTGCGCATGTAACTGATGCATAAAGTGTGAATTAAATACGTTTAATAATAATAATAATAATAAAGAATCCAGAGCTGAACGTGTCAAGGCACGGTCTAGATGAACATTAGTGTACCAAGTTTTTTGTTTCTTGGATGGCATTAAAGGGGAAATGGTAATCACCCGTATACATTGGCATGTGATGAGAGTACAAAGCCTTTCAGGTCTAAAGGCCAATTCCTTTTTCCCTTGCCTATTAGGGTGAATGATCTGTCAATAACATTATGAATAGACTGTAATAATAAGTATCAATTAGTGAATGTATGTTTGGCCTATCCATCAGTTTAGGGAAGGGAATGATGGTAAATATCCCTCTGATGATTCTTCGTCGTCCTAAGGGTGATTTTTATCTTGCTGTTAGGAAGAAGGGTCTTATTCTGGAAAAATATCTGAGCTTCACTTGCTCAACCCTTTCACAGAAAAAAAAAAGAAGTGAGAGAATGGCGCCATTAGTAGTTTCCTATCCTAAAATGCGCACCATGACCGTTGCAAATATAATAGTCTTGATTAAACAGTGGAACAAAAATGTTCATGTACACTCAATCCTCCGCTCGTTGTTCGGTTGTCCAGCAAATAAAATTTCGCGACTGTTCCCTGAAATCACAACTTATTTATCGCAGTGTATTGGAATTAGTTTGTGGATACATGAATATTTGACCTCTCATAGATCTAGTCTTATCAAGATTCTCTGTTTACATACCTCTTCATTCATTCTGGCCCTTCACGTTCTGTTCTTACAGGCACATACTTGACCCATTAGCGTAAAGTATACTCTAATCAAAGCTTACATTTAAGCAATTTGGCGAGACAGGCATAAAAGGATGTGATTCTCTCTTGCTTTCTCCCTCTTCCTCACTCTTAACGCAGATATCATACTCGCTCTTTAAAACAATCTTTTTCCCTCCAAAGTTTGCCATGAAGATCCTCATTATTTTCGCATCTTTTCTCATTGTTGCTGCCATCACCACCGCTCATGCACTAGACTCGGACTGCTCTACTGGTCCTGTAGATCTGAAGGTTGATTCTTATACATTGTCCCCTAATCCCTTCTGCATCGGCAAGAAAGCCTGTGCTACTGTTACTGGCAAGTTGAAGGCCCCTGTCACTCAAGGTGCTAAGCTCAAGTTCGAGGGTAAGTTCGCCGGCCAAGTCGTTTACTCTAAGACCCTTGATCTTTGTATACTCTTGGCCCAGCAAGGATACCCTTGTCCAGTCCCTACTACCTTGACCTCCCTCACTCTGTGCATGCCAATCGAGGGCAATGTAATTGCTGATGTATGTCTTTTTTTTTTTTTTTTTTTTTTTTTTTGAAAAAGAATTACTAATGATAAATATGGTTAGCACTGATATTACCGATGGTTTATTTGGATGCTTTCATTACATAGACTCCCGTTGAACTCGAGATCGTCACCATTAATGGCAACGGTAACACAATCTTTTGCCGGAGCGCCACCGTTACCGCCAAACACTGCTAAAGGAATGGACGGATAGGGCATGTCGACGTGCCAATATTTCAGCTTAATAGATCGACTCAAGTGAAATAAAAAATCCATGCGGAGAAGACGTTCTTCTCTTCTGCTACAACAGAGCTGTGTTGCTACACAATTATTTAGTGACATGCAATGTGAAGACTCTTCAACCTTTATTTTTGTTTATTCTGTTTGGACGACATCTATTATGTCCACCATGTCATGTCATTATTAGACTATATACGTGTCTCGCCCAAGGTGACATTTATGACTCTCTTTACGAAGACTGCTCATTTCGCCACTCAACATAATCATCTAGAAGAACAGGCCCTATGTAAACAAAAAAAAAAAAAAAAAAAGTATTGACCGATCGATCAACAAACAAGTTCATCATCTCGTACCTGTTCATATCACAGACATAATATCCATGAAAGCAAGCATGACTTACATGCAGAACTTGCTTCATCATAGTTGGACAGATCCTCAGCTATTGTCTCTGAAAAGTCCAGAAAGTTGTACCATTGGTCCTTGTTAATGACCTTGACTGGTCTCTTTGTTTCCAAAAACTCCACAAATCGCTCCTCATGCGGCCTTCCTTTCAACACGGTCTGTAGCATTGCACAGGCAACCTACAACAACGCAACAGCGATTCATTAGACCATAATAACAACTATGTTCGCATCTCATCATCATGATTGATATATTAGCAGGCCATCGCCATAGATATAAAACCATTGTTAATTACCTCCAATGGCATACACTTTTGCTCAGAGTCCTTGGCAAACATAAAGACATAGCGATAAACCTCCCTGAATTTCTTCGGATCCTTGAGTGTTGCGACTAAGCCGGGCATTGCAGCTTTCAATTGCTCCGTCGAATCCAACCTAAAGTTTGCCGTCAAGCATATTTTGGTTAAACTAAAACACTCTAATAAATAATATCCACATGCAGCGATAGTGATAGATCGATCGACAATGAACATACTCAAGCTCCTTCATTCCTTTCATCCACTCATCTTTGGTAAAAATAGCTGTAATAGATGGAAATAAATAAAATGCGACACAGGTTAGAAAGGGCTCCAATATCCTGGGTATCACGTGGCTATTGATCAGTTCTCCTAAACTTACGCATCGTGTCAGCCTGCAAATGATAAGCGAGAACCAGCATGTCAACCTATGATAGCAGCATATTTAATGAGAGGTGAGAGTGAAAATTCCAAACACCAGCAGGCAGGCAATTAATTAGCTTTTGTCAAAATTGCTGTATACTTGTTCTTTACACATTAATACTTGACTCGAAGATATCTTTTACTTTATTGTATATATCCTCAAGATTTCAATGCAAAATTCTGCCAGACCTGACGCAAGGAGAGTACTTACTGTTTCCAGAGATACATCGATGTCTTCGCACAGTTTTGCGATACCAGCAGGTCCTATTTGATCTTTATCAAAATCCTCATTTTCTTCCAGGCCTAGCAGATGACAATTAATCCAAGAAATTAATGTCGTGGCAAGATTGCAAAAAAAAGGAGAAGCGCCTTAACACCAGCAGACATTAATTTGCTTTTCTTCGATATCATGTCCATCCATACCTGTGTACGACTTGAACCATGCGTAGCACCGTTCAGGATCGAATCGTTTCTAAATGGTCAAAAAGTGAGAGCAGAAATAGTGTTTGTGAGAAGTATAGTTCCGTCTAAGATAGGTTTCTGAAGGATTGGAGTAGGAACGTTGGGTTTCTTCAAGTGGATGTCGAAAGGGAGAATGAAAGAGGCATACTTTTGCCGCTAGTGCCGGCGTTGGTGTGGGTACTGGTACCGGTGGTACGGGAGACTTTGTTGCTGGGGTTCTGTTGACCACTGCGCCATTATTCTTGAGTCTACTCGACAATTCCAAGATGTCAGATGAATAGAATGAACGTTATGAACGTCAAAATCTGCATTGTTGCTGTGTGTGTAGCATGCAATCCATGGCAGGCATATACGTCCTTACGTTGAGCGGGATTTCGATCCTGTAGTTGTGTCAACCTTTGTTCCTCTTGATTTGATGATGTCTTTACTGTTTTTGCTGCCCATGGCGTTGAATTAACAAATAATTAAAAAAAAAAAAACGGTAAGGAGCGTTTCCCGAACGAAGTATAAGGTACCCAAAATGTCTTGGTGCACAAAAGGAAGGAGAATGATCCCACGAGATATTTTAAGAGTAATATTATAAGGAGTGGAAGTAAAAGGAAAAAAAAAAAAAAAGAAAAAAAAAAAAAAAAGAAAGGAAAAGAAAAAGGGCGGATGGTTTATGAGGAATAGAAAGCCAAGGACCATTATTTTCGTGCGGCGAACAGTCAAGGGGGAGAAGGAACTGTGTGCAAAGGGGACTGTCCTTCGCTCATGTCTAATAATCTGGACATGGTGGATATGAATGGAAGTATTAAAGTCGTTAGTTACTAACCTCTGATGCAGAAGCCTTGTTATTGGCCTTGGATACTCTGGAGTTAACTGATGTCTTCTTGGCTTTCGCTGCCCCCTTTGTGGGTTTATCATTGGCCGTGGCTTCAGCTTTTCTTTTGGGCATGATTCTAAAATCCAATATGCAGTTTGGAAAGAACGCTCTCGTCAGGAACAATGAAAGAGCAAGTTCACTGGTGCATGTCATTACCGAAGACAATCCAAAAGATCAAATAATGTGTTTAACGTCTAGAATGGCTTGAAGTGGCCAATGAACTTCAGGCGCATTAGGGTATGTACTCACCAAGACGCGAAAAAGAGAGTATGGATTGTAGAAATGAAATGCTTAACAAGTGAATATAAGAACCGTAATGATGAGATGTTATGGACTTAAATAAATCAGTGCTGTGCGTTTAGGAATTCGTGTTGCTGATTGTCAATGAAACAAGATCACATGCCAAATAAGAAAAGAGAATCGTGTGGCAAATGACAGAAAAACTATCGTCGTAATGCACTGTCATGATCGCCTTTGCTTTTGGTGGCGCTTTTTCGCCTTTTTTTTTTTTTTTTTTTTTTTTTTTTAAAATCTACTTTAGACTCCCTCTTTGAATTATGCTCCTGCAACTTTGGATTCTGGTTACAGAAGTACACAGTTTTTATTTCTTGGACAACATAACGTTGCATGGCTCTTATTTTTCGTAACCTTTTTTTTTTTTTTTTTTTTTTTTTTTTTTTTCAAAAGACAGAGGGAGACTAAAAAGAGAGTAGTTAGCAGACATAGAGGAGGACATATTTCGGATTGTACTATGGTTCCATATCATGAATCGAATGCACAGTGAAAAATGCATATAGTGGGAAGCAGTCATCTAGGATTAGTGGTGTAGAGTGATTTCAACAGTTTGCTGTTTGAAATATATTGTCTTCTATTATCCTTTTTCATC